AGTGGGTCAGTCATTAATTCTGTCAATTGGTATATAGTTAATATAGTAACCTCTAGGCACTGTCTAAGTCAATCAACGGCCCAGTGAAGTCTGTAGTCAGCCAGGCAGCCAGTTAGTCCATTACACAGGCGGTGGGTCAGTCAGTCATTAATTCAGTCAATCGGTATATATTTAATATAGTAACCTCTAGGCACTGTCTAGGTCAATCAATGGCCCAATGCAGTCTGTCAGTCAGCCAGGCAGCCAGTTAGTCTATCTTACAGGGAATTGGTCAGTCATTCAGTCAGTTAATAAGCGGTATATAGTTAATATACTAATCTTCATGTAATCTCTCTGTTAGCCATGTCGCCAGTCAGTCTATTGTACAAGCAATCGGTCAGGAATTCAGTCAGTCACTATCAGTATATAATAATATATTAATAGAATAACCTCTAGTTCAGTCAACGACTCAGTGAAGTCTGTCAGTCAGCCATCCAGTCAGTAATTCTATCACGGCACTAGCAATAGGTCAGTCATTCAGTAAGACAAAGAAAAAGTTAATGTAGTAACCTCTAGTTTAGTCAACGATTCAATGTAGTCTGTCAGTCAGCAAGTCAGTCTATCATACATGCAATAGGTCAGTCATCAGTCTGTCAATCAGTTTATAGTTGATAAAGTTATTTCTTGTTTAATCAACGACCCAGTGAAGTCAATCTCTCAGTCACTCAGTCACTATATTGTTAATTTAGTAATCTCTAGTTCAGTCAACGACTCAGTGTAGTCTATAAGCCAGCCAGTCAGTCTGTCATACAAGCAAACGGTCGTCCATCCAGTCTGCATATTAAATTGGTAGTGTCGTCTTTCGTCGGTCAACTAGCCAGTGATGTCAGCCAGTAAGGCTGACAGTCTGTCTATCACACAATCACACAAACAGTCCGTCAGTCATCCAGTCCGTCAATCAATATATAGTGACTATAGTTCTTTGGAAGCCAGTCAGTGAACTCTGTCATCTAGACGGTCTGTCACACGAGTAATAGGTAAGGCTGCTCATATCTAATCAGGTTATTAGTCAGTGAAATTGCATTCGATCAATCTGTTAGTTATTCCGTCAACTGGTTAATCACAAGTATGTCCTATCGGTAAGAAAACCCGTCTGCGTCTGTCAGGAAATCAGACATTCAATTAGACCACCAGTATTTCAGTCAGGACATCAGTCAGTCAAACAGTTAATTGGTCAGCCAGTCCACTTGTCAGTCAGTCACTTGGAAAATCATTGTAGTCTTCGTGACAAAGTCAGTGCTCCAGTCTGTTTTTCAATTAGTCATTGTTACATTCATAAAGTTCGCCCGTCATAGCATAATTCATCATATATTCCCTCGGTCAACTCAATCAGCGAGTCAAGAATTCATTTGTCTGTCGTTAGGCTATTTCCCAGTTGCCTTAAGCCTCTGTTTCAAAGCGAGGCTAAGTGTTTTATCCATTGATATGAAAACGATCTCATGCAAATGAAAGTCACCTTTGCACTTGGTTTCTTTTTGAAAGTGAGAGCTTTTGGAACTCGGAAATGCACAATTAATCAATTGGTTAATAAGTTAGTCCACACGTTAAAGCGAAATTCTTTCACTCAGCCAATGCTTCAATAACTCATCGGCAAATGGCCAAGCGATCNAAGAATTCATTTGTCTGTCGTTAGGCTATTTCCCAGTTGCCTTAAGCCTCTGTTTCAAAGCGAGGCTAAGTGTTTTATCCATTGATATGAAAACGATCTCATGCAAATGAAAGTCACCTTTGCACTTGGTTTCTTTTTGAAAGTGAGAGCTTTTGGAACTCGGAAATGCACAATTAATCAATTGGTTAATAAGTTAGTCCACACGTTAAAGCGAAATTCTTTCACTCAGCCAATGCTTCAATAACTCATCGGCAAATGGCCAAGCGATCGGCGATCTTCTGATACATAGTGTAACTTCACCATTCTGTCCATCAGTCAGTCAATAGGTCAGTCCACCCGTCGTAGCGTAATCAGTCAACATATCAACTCAGTCAATCAGTCAGATTTAGAAGAGTAGTCAATTAGTCAGTCTGTCCGTTATTCAGTCACTCTGTCCAGTGGTTCAATTACTTGTTCGGTTACCAGTTCGGTAAGCAGCGAGTTAGTCAGTCAGTCGTTTCAGTCAGTCAACCAGCCATTTAGTGTATCTGGAAGTCATTTGGTCAGTTGGTCAAACAGCTATATTGACAGAGAGTCCTTCAAACGGGCACTTCGTCTTTCTATAGTGCTGTGTACATTCATTAATTCACTCAAAATTAGTCAGTCAGCAATAGCAATTCAATCACTAGGGTTGAATGCCACTTGGGGCAGATATTCAGTCCGTTAGTGGGTCGGTCAATAAACCGGATCGACAGGTTAGTTATGTCAATGCATTTACCTATCACTCTTACGTCCGATTACTTTTCACGTTAATCATTGTAGAGATAAAAATTTGCGCCTGCCAGGTTAGCTCCTTAATAAGTACATCTGGGTTATTTTTGCTCAAAAAAGAAATTCTCAAACATCCACCCTCCAAGGGTCCTTCGAGTTTGCCGTTAATTTCCTTTAAAATTAAATTGCTTCTATCAGGCGTCACGGCAGTCGATCTATCACTCAGTCAGTTATTCATAAAAGCTGTCTCTTGACCAGATAGAAAGCTATCCTACACTGATAGCACTGGCAGTCAAACGTTTAGTCATGTAGTGAATCAGTTATTTAGTTATTCTTACAGCCTTTCAGTCAACTAATTTAGCACTTTTAAGTATGTCATAAACCACTCAATTGGTCTGTATGTTAATCAGACAAAGCATCAGTAGTCGTAACTGTCAGTTATACTGTCATTTTGTCAGTGAGTCAGCTGGTTACCCGGGCAACGGATCGTCATCCTGTTAGTTAGCCATTTCATTCAGCTCTGGAAATAAGACAATTAGCCAGATGTTTGAGCCAATTGGATTCGTTCTGACGAAGGTTGAGCATTTGGCGGCAAAAGTAAGATAGTGAACCAGACATCAGGAATCCGTTGCTAACCAAACAACTGGTTTGTAATTCAGCCAACAAGAATTTCAGTTCATAATCCAGCTCAGTAAGCTAAGGCAATCACTTATGTTTTGTTAGTCAGACCGTCGGTAAATTAATCACGCGGTAAATCAATATGTCAGATTGTTCACTGTATATTTCACATAATCTTGTCTGTGATAACGTCAGTTACAAGCAGTCACAATTAGTCAGTCATTTCTTTTCGTCGTATCAGTCGTTGCGTTCTTCCTATTAGTCAATGAAGTGCTGTCGTTTCATCTTAGGTCACGCAGTGCGTTATATATAAGTATTATTTTTATCAGTATCTGCCTGTCTTCAGTTTAATAGTCAGTCGTACAGTCATTCTGTTTTTTGGTAAGTAAAACGGCCTCTGGTATTGCTTGAATTCCTGTTTCCGGTTTTTTAGAAAAAAGGGGTAATAGATAATAATATTACAACAGATAGATAAAATGTAATACCTGAGAGGAACTGGTAACCAAATACACTTCCCTTTCGAGGCTACTGAAAGCCGAATGCTTCGTTACCAACTTGTCTCACCTTATATCACGATAGGCTAAATACGCTGTCTAACGTTAACTTATGGTAGTTAAATCACCTGAAAATAAGCCTCAAATATGAAGAATTATCCACTCATTTACGATGAGTTTGGTATAAAGACGCATTCAAATAGCATGCAGTAAATTACAAATGAACAAAATTTTGGCTAAAATTTTTTCTAAAAACTCACCAATTTGAAAGCGAGGTATCTACATTTCAATGAACGATAAAGGCGGCAAAATCGCCTCGCCAAAATATAAATTGATATAATTTAGTTAAACTGGTTTTGGAAAAAACTGTCTAACACTACAAAATATCTAAAGATATTTTACCAAAGTCTAATAAATAGTAAAAATACTACCGTCACTTAGTTAAAGAACATTACTTTCGTCATAAAAGCTTTTGATTCCTTTTGGCTGAAAAATTCAAAAGGTAGACATGACCATATATATGCGAGTAATGTTTTAACGCATATTNCCCTTTCGAGGCTACTGAAAGCCGAATGCTTCGTTACCAACTTGTCTCACCTTATATCACGATAGGCTAAATACGCTGTCTAACGTTAACTTATGGTAGTTAAATCACCTGAAAATAAGCCTCAAATATGAAGAATTATCCACTCATTTACGATGAGTTTGGTATAAAGACGCATTCAAATAGCATGCAGTAAATTACAAATGAACAAAATTTTGGCTAAAATTTTTTCTAAAAACTCACCAATTTGAAAGCGAGGTATCTACATTTCAATGAACGATAAAGGCGGCAAAATCGCCTCGCCAAAATATAAATTGATATAATTTAGTTAAACTGGTTTTGGAAAAAACTGTCTAACACTACAAAATATCTAAAGATATTTTACCAAAGTCTAATAAATAGTAAAAATACTACCGTCACTTAGTTAAAGAACATTACTTTCGTCATAAAAGCTTTTGATTCCTTTTGGCTGAAAAATTCAAAAGGTAGACATGACCATATATATGCGAGTAATGTTTTAACGCATATTGACACATATTGTCGTTAGATATGAAAAATTGACCAGTGAATACACTGTGAATATAAGATGATCGTGAAGTGACACAAGAGCTGTGTTGTCTTGTCTTTCTTTGAAATTTTCTGACCGAAAGAAATTTTGTTATTATCAATAGAGCGACTCTCCTTTAACTGTCTCTTTTTCGTTTTCCTTTTTCTTTTCTTAGAAGCTTGGTTTCACGGTTAACAATTTTTAAACCCTTCTTGCACTAGCAAGTTTTGCCGATGACGTTCTTATAGTAAAAGTGGAACGCGGGAATCTCTGTGGAGCTGTTTTCTTGGTGTGGATTTTGCCTGAAATCCGGTTTTTGCATTGACATTTCACTGATATTTCGGATGCAAGTTGTATTTGCCAGTTTGTGACCGTTAAAAGAAAACCGCTCTAGGGATTTTAACTTAAATTATTTACTCTAAAGGAAGACCAAACCTCAAACAAACAAGCCGCCGAATGAAACCGAAAGAAAATACACAATGGGTAAGCTAAGGTAGTTATCGCCCTCCATGACGTCTCACCGTAAAATATTGTCTGTACTGGGGTTGTGGAGAAATTCCTCATTTCAAAGAACGAATCTTGAGCCCATAATGCCACGTTGGTGGTCAGCAGAAACAGCGTTCCTTGTCTGACGATGTTGGCGCCCAGTTCCTTGAGCGGTCTGAAGCGGAGAGCTTTGATGAGAGCTGTGGCCTGTAGCATTGCTTGGAAGAGAATAAGCGTCGATTTGGCGAGTGAGAAGTCTGAAGCGTAGCGATGGTTTCTGATTTCCGCGATGGCAGCTGTAAGGCACAGACCAGCGTAGAGAAACATTCCAGTGAATGACACTATTAGCAAAGTATCATCTGCTCCAAATGGATACCAAGCAAACTTTTGATTCATAAGGCATCTCAGCACAATCCAACATGCCACGCACATAAACACGAGCAAGATAATTTGATAAAGGTAATAAAACTTCAGAGCGTTAATGGAGTCGTGGTCAACCCATAATAACCCCACTGCAAGTAGCAAAACGATGGAGAACAACAGCCCGATTAAAAGGCCTGGGTCCGAACTTGGAATCGCATGGAGCCGAAGAGCGTCCTGATTTTCAACGCACGATTGACAAATAGATGAGTTCGACATGGCTCGATTCAATGAAAAACGACTGGAAAAACGTCCACTAGACACCGAATCCTTGGACGGCGTCGCAGCCTCGCACGTTCCGTATCCGTGGTCGTGTTCAAATTTCTCTAATCGTTCACTTAAATTATCCGAAGTCGTGTTGAAATCCGACAACTCGTCATAAATGTAAATATCCTGCGGGTCGGGATCCAGATCTCGCATCTCGCTCCACATGGTGTACAGAATGCCACCCGCTATTAGCGAGTATTCCATTGTGAACGGGTATAAATAAGGTTCTGACGCTTCCCAAATCTTCTTCATAGAATAGTGATTTGCAAAGCACGCGTTCTCTTCACGCGTACTTAAATCTTCTTGTGTTCTACGCGTGCTAAAGATGCTTTTCGAGTGGCTAAAAAGCGCGCGAAACCAAAGGCACACGTTAGTGCCAAGTATGTGGAAAAGTACAAGTCGAATGCTTGGTGATTTATGAAGGGTGGCTGTTGCAAACTTACGTAAAAATAGAATTTGCGCAAAGATGAACACAGCCTTGAAAATAGAGAAGAATAAGCTAGATAGGTTTGATGAACATTCAATATAAAATGTGATATGAAGGAGGTCCATAACACAGCTTCCCGCGCCGAAAACGTAAGCTCCGGCCATGAGAGGGCGGTGTGAGTGAGGCGAAGGTGTGATGAAGTCTACTGTCTTACGATCATTTTGTTTACAAAAGATATAAAAAATCCATAAGAGAGCAGGGCAAATGCAGGTGATAAGAAATCCATCAATGTGGTCTGTCGTTACCCCAGAGTCCGCTTTAGAATCGTCTTGTAGCCATTTTGATAGATTAAACACCACCCCTGCTGTTGTTAAACAAATCAAGTACAATAAACTGGCGATTTTACCATCCCCTTTTACGCCATCGTCTGGTAGTATAGGTTCGAGAACGTACATAAGAGCGCTGGTAACTGCCCCTGTAAAGCTGCGATTTTCTTCCTTTTTCTGTTCATCCTTCGCTTGAGCGTTTCCAACAACTTTCTTTTCATACAATGGATAGGTTTCTTTGTCCGAGCGCATGATGTTTAATGTTTTCAAAGGTTGTTGAGCAGCGAAGAAAGGAAGCGGGCGAGCGCTTGTTTCTTCAGTCATGACGTCATGGTTGTAAAGCAAAACAGTGTGGTGAACTCTGTAGGTCTTCTAGAAAACATTGCTTTCTTATTGGCCGGTTCATGAGCTCATTTATGAGGAATCACCATTACTTCATGGGCCAGTGACTCATTAAAATTCGCGGGTTTGTATTGTCATTTTCAGCCAATCAGAGTGCACGGTTGAGGTCATGGATCAATGGAGCGCTCAGCTCATGAACTAGAGTAGAACACTCGTAAATGGCAAATCCACTAGTTTATTTTCAATTCTAAAATTTTAGAATAATTTTACATTATGATGAGAGGAATTTTGCCAATTCTACTTCCCTTCTGCAATTTTTTTACCCGCGTTTGCGCCGCTTATAAATGAGAATACTTTCAACGTCATCTTTTGTTTAAATCCTGACTCTTATTTGAGTAAACCCTGTCTTGTTTAACTAAAACAAAAGAATAACATGTTAACCGGACAGAAAAACTTCCAGAGAAACCTCCGAATTTTCCTTAATACTTAATATACACATTAACTTGGTTGAATCTTCCAAGAAACTAATCTGATTATTTTCCAAAGCTGCACAACCCTCTCGCAATTCAAAGTAAAATCACTGATTTTATTTTGGAAAAAAAAAATCAGTTCCACAGGAAGGTATTTTTCTTTAAAACGGCAGGTATTAGCTTGTTTTAATTATAAAAGCTTAGTTCTTCCGCAATAGCAACGGTTAGATAGCATTAAGTAGATATTTTTCGCCTTGTATGCTAAAATTTTCAACGCAGTTTATTGTTGCAGTTCTTTCAATATAAATCATTTGCTTTAAGCTCAGCAGAGCGGAAAAACAAATTACGTAAACGGAAGGCTAAGCACTCTTAAAACAAAGCAAATAAAGCTACTAAGCCGTATCGGCGAACAAGAGTGGCTCATTGAATATTATATGGATGAAATAACCAGCATAAACGTGCAGTGAATGCTCTTTCTCACACAGACAAAGTGTTATTTACGCGTGTCTTTGTGTAAAAACAGAAATGGCCGCCGGAAACCTTTTGATTAGTTACAAGTAGAGTAATAGGTATCCCTTAGGTTTAAAATTAAAACCGTCTGCATTTCTTTACTATTTTTGCTTAAGTTGTTAATTCCAAAACATCTTTTTAAGTTACCTAATTTTAAAAAAAGAACATACGGGCTAGCATTGTATTCGTGCTACATTGTAGTATGCCCTCAACCTGAGAGTTTGCCCTTTTTAGCTCAGTTTTTCGGTGGTATATTAGTATTTTGTTCTGAAGGTTATGCACAGTTCAGATAACACTGGTACAGGTCATCAAAACTTAGTTTTCTTTGAATTTTCTTGCAGGTCAAATTGAAAAACCTAATTGGCCACCTGAAAAGTCATGGTGGTCTGGCAGTCTTTCACACGCCCCCTTTTTCTTAAATTGGGTAAAAAAATTTAGTCTTTTTTCCAGAAGGAGTCAAATAAGAATAAATTCTCCATTAGCACATTTTCGTTGAGGAAATTCTCAGTGATACCCTTTACGATGATTACTTGAACGGTTAATGGTATAAGTGATCGTGACAAATGAGTTACTTAGCAACGGCTGCTAATGACAGTGAATTCTCGGCTTATTCCGTTTTGAAAACGAAATATTTCTACGAAGTCTTCGGATTTGTGTATTTTTTTTCCCTTTTTTGTTTTTTTTCTTGTTTTCTTTTTTAATGAATTAGAAAATCCAATCTTGTGCATCAATTTTTCTAAGGATCGTTTTAAGTTTGACGTTATGACCATGGTCTCCTCTTAAAGGCTCGAACGTTGTTCCATAATCACCGATTTCATTTCTTCTACAAAGTCGTAAAAAGGGGGAAGTAATTTCCATGCATAGTATTAAAAGAGCCACGAACAAACTAGCTGTGCGCCAGGCCGAGACAGCAGGGACGCGAAAATCAAGCCAAATGCATAAAAAAAGTAAAACAAAAATAAATAAAACAAAACAAAAAAAAAATTAAAAATAAGACCTGCGCGATCTGGTGAATGAGGTGGTGGCGGGAAAAAAATAAGACCTTCCTCTCCCCAGATCCCGCACGTTTTTCTTATCACTTTTTACCGCACGACTGCACTTCTATCTTGCAACCTGGAAAAGGCTACAAAACGTACCCTCTATATAAAGGCACAGAATCTATTATGGAAAACCCTCAGAAGAGATTTTACTTGGCAAAATGACCCCTTATCCGCATCCTAAAACAAGTTACCTACCCCCCCTCCCGCCCTCTGTTCCTAACCATACTTTTGATAATTCTTGACTTTTCTGGGACTGGATTGGCGGAAAATGGCGCCCACTCTCATGTAGCAAGTAATAATTTGATAGCCACAATACACAATGGTTATCACACCTGCCTAGTGAGCGGGTTTCGAGATACATTAAATAGTCTATGACTGGCCAAATTTTAAATATCAATACGTTATAACGCCCGTTTAAAACGCGTATATTTCTTTCAATGATCTTGCGTGAATATAACAAATGAATTGACATTTTTGTTGTTTCTCCCTGGCATTATGAATTTCGCCTTCTTAATCTCCACCGGCGTCATAAGCAAGAAATTTATAAAAGCCCCATCAACACCACTTTCGAAGTTACCATGGGTACAAAACACTTAACCATAGTTGCAACCTTTTTAGATAATTTTTTCTTGTGATCGTGGGTTATTAATTGTGATAATTTATCGTAGACGGATTCTTCCTAATAAGCGACGCTTCAGCACTAATCGGAAATGGTGTAGTTTACTTGGGCTATAATAGCGCTGATGTAAATTTTCTTAATGGAGACCAATATGCCGCCTTTTAGTACGGCAAAATATTACATTCACTTGAAAGAAAATGTATTCATTTGTTCAGTATTCTGTAAAAAAAATTAAACTGATTGTTTTAGAGCGTCTTTCTTGCTGTGCTGTATTAGATCGATTAACTATTATAGATTTCTGGTTGAAATTTCTTCATTACGCGTCCTCATTAAATTTTATCGGCGATGGAAAAGAAGCATATAAATTCGAGATACGAATACGTCAGTCTAATTTCGCGACCGCTGTCCATTCCAAATCGAAAAACAATTGAGCACCGAACATTTTCTTTCGTGCGACGTAAAACATTCACGCATCAACTTTAGTGGAAAATCTTTAACGCAAAGGCAGCGCATCTGATCATGGTGAACTGAATTTGGTCTGAAATGAGCGTTCAACGAGCTTGTTACCAAGTTTCGGGCCCAAAAATTGCTAGAGATGCTTCATCGCGCAGAGCGACAAATTTTTACCACACTCCGTTGACTGCTGTATACACAAATGGCACACTAGTTTCAAGTACGACACGCGCGGCATACACAAAGCCCTTTAGTCAACCAAAGATTATGTCACCTGGGAATTGTTCGTCGACTCAAAGAAGCAACTACGTTACCTCCTTGTCTATAATTCCAAAAGAGAAGATTCCACAGGTCGTAATCTTGCCGAGTATTGATAGGGATATTACTGTACCTTCCGCAAGATCCGTATCGCCGAAAAATCCTGTCCCTACAAGTGGGGATAAAAAGATCCGAGAATCGCGGACTAACGCAAAAGCAAGTAAGTTACCGGCCAAAAAATATATCTCTTGCCTTCACACTTCGTTAAGTACTGAGTGGAGGAAAGACAGCGTTGATCAAGAAAGTTACGGCGAGGACAAGGCGCAGAGGACTTCACTTCAAATTGAGTGCAATAACAAAACAAAGAGTACACGAACGACAGCGAGTGCTGCTCCTTCAATTTCTCGCGTCGGCGATAAAAATTATTCAAAAGCGGTACCCCATCGAACTGACCCAGATCTTAGCGGCCCGTTTTTAGATTGCAAAAACTGTGAAGAAAACACAGGCATGAACAACCAGACAGTGCGCGTTCAGCGTTTACCAGCGTCCGGAAAAAGTTTTACAATTAAAGATATTATACATCACGATGAAAAGCCGCGTTCAGGCAAAAACACATCTGCTGTCTCAGCGCCGCGCGGCCTAGGACAGCCAACTAGACAGGGTTTACGTCCGCGAATGCTTCCGAAAAGTCGATTTCGAGTCAAAATTCAGAAATGCCATCACAAGAGTGTCAATATTTCAGATGCTCATGACTGCACAGTGGACAACAAAGAGAAAATTCTGGAAAAGGAAAGCAGAAGCGTTGTTGTTCAAGAAAAAAGTCCACAAAGATCATTTTCTCTTCAGAGGCTTAATTTTTAGACGCTGACGGACGCTGAATTTGCTGGAAAAAAAAAAAGAAAAGTGTTTTCAGTTTAAGTATTAAGCTTTTATGAGGCCAGTTGATGGTCTGATGTTTTGAAAGTACAGCTAGCGAATCTTAATTTTAAATTACGTCGTATGAAGAAGGTCGGAGTCAGGATCTATACATCCACCTGATCCAAGAATTTACATTTAAGATTGACGTGCCGTTAATTGTATGTATTTGCAGAAAACATTTGGACGTCAAAAACTGGATTGTCATTTCGACGAGGAAGTATTTAATTTTACACTCTTTATGGACGATATCGTCGGGAGAGAAAAAATAAGGTTTTCTTTAGGATTTGCGCTTAACGAAAAATTCTTAAGCATTGCTCTATCTAAGTGGTTTGATAGCAACGACGGTATATTGCCAAGCTTCATTTTTGAAGAAAAAAAGACAAAAATAATGAAAAGATAAATAGATAAGAAAAGAAACGGAAAATAGTGATCATTGACTCGAGAACTTTCCTCTGAAAGAGTGATTCTTAGAGCCCATCAGTTGAATACAAACTAAAGTCATGACATTCATACACATTCAACTTAAGCCTTCTCTGATCTTTAATTAAACTGCAAAGTGCTGGATTAAGCGGTGTTGAAAATTGCCTCAAAATATAGAGAAAAAAGGGTAAAATTTTTTCCTTAAATGTAGTGTCCATTTCCCCGTTTTAGTTTTGATTCAGAGCTGGGTAGAGTACTTGAAAAGGCAGGTTGATTTGCAAATATCTTTAAATTCATACATCTTTGTTTAATTTCTTCTATAAGTCAATCAGTAGCCGCGACAACATGAAACATGAAAACATAAAATTATTACTTCGCTTCCAAAATACATATTTCAATATTATGGAAGAAAATGCAAATCGTCAGTCGCTGTTGAGCTGTAAAACAAATCGCTTGCTCAAATTAAAAACTCTCCACATAAAAACTGATAAAATATTAATGAGTCCTCGACAGAATTAATGACCAAATATTCTTCGCAGCAATGAAACATATAGCAATGAAACTAAGCGTCACTCATTTAACTTTGTTTTAGTACGCAATATTGACAACGCAATGTAACAAAACTTTGTATGATCGCGCGCGCTTTAAATTCAACGGCGATTTCAAAATATGTAACACTGAAGATGACGGATGTACCGTCGAAACATGTCTGGAAAATTAAAGAAAGTTGTTATGTTTATACGACTAATGAAACATATCAAATTAACATATTAACGTGCATATTTTTCATATTGTTACTCCGGTCATGATATTCAAATCCCCTTCTGTCCTAGACGGTCCCTCTGTCAATTAAACAAGCGCCCATTTTCATTTATACCTTTACAGCATAAGCCTTGTCTTTCTCATTTTTCAGGGTTTAGATAAATAACCACTGAATATTGCCCGTGCTCAGGGAGTTATTGAGTTGTGAGCTTAACAAAACTGATCCATACGTATATAACTTCCTTTCTTTCATACGGTAAAGGTGGAACTCGCGAACTTATTCTTTTTACCTCACGGTTTCGGGACACTGTTAATAAAATTTTTGAGTAAGCCAATTTCCTGTGATCTCTCTCAGACAATACGTGTCCTGGTTGGATCATTAAATGTGTCTCCCGAGCTACAGCAGATGTTCGCTAGAACATCAAAACTGCTTTAATCCTTACAGTTGTCATAGAGAAATCTAAGAAGCAATATGTATCTTGAATTAAGTAACTGGATTTAATAAAATGATACTGATCACAGCCGTAAGACCAGTTATGTTAAACCAAAATAACAATAAAAACAGATTGTAAGAAGGTAAAAGCAACCAAACGTTAAAATTGTAACCCTCGTTGGCTTTCATCGGAACCGGGCCCAGACCTCGCTGGTGTCGGAGTTTTATATTGGGGAGGTGTGGGTACAATATAAATGTCCTTCCAAAGAAATTTCGCGGTGGATTACGCCATATACCGTCAACTTTGTCAACTGTCTCTTTGATTGACAGACACCTCTATGGGATGGATACTTCCCCAAAATAGACACCCATAAATGGTCCTTGTTGTTCTTCTTTAACCCATTTTCTAGAGCAACCTCTCCTTTCAAGCTCCACAGGGTTCTTTCTTCTTTTAATAAATTTGCATAGTTGCTCGCCACCTAAGAGAATTTTCGAAATTTTAAAATTCATACTTAGCTCCTAGGCTTGGCAAAATAAAACAAAAGGAATTGCCTTGAAGTTCTGGCATGAATTATGCATTTCTTTTGTTTTATTCTCCCAATCCTTAGATCACTCGGAACCAAGTATGGATTTCAATATCTCCAAGTTGGTCTATTTTGTTGCAGATGATAGGATAAATATTAGAAAATCTTTAAAATACCATAGTAGATTAATCACAGAAGCCTAAACAATAAATCTAGCATGTGTTTCGAATTTTCAGTTTTAAATCTTCTCTCTGGAAAATATGCAGTAAAGACGCGGAAATCAATAAATCAGAGTCATCCCTAGTAATAATTCTAATGGCACTGGCTACCAAGCTTCTCATTGATACTGTCGTGCATTTGACAAAATCTCAGTGCCAACGAGAGTTCGAGCGTCTAAGAGATACTTGAGGAATAGAAGTAGTACTGTAAGTCTCGAAAACACCATGTTACAATATCACAAAATTGATATTAAATATAGCAAACAGTTTTAAAATACAAATTATTTACACTACCATTTTGTAGTTCCTAAAATCAAACTTTTTACGGTTCTGGAGGTTTATATTGTGCGAGCCTTAACGATACTGGTGTAACATTTCAACAGAAACAGCCCCTTATTCGGTGGTCATGAAGAATTAATTGACGTGTTTAGTATTTGGGTTGATCCAACAGTTATCTCTAAGGATGGGAGGAGCAAGTAGTTACTAGGTGTGATGATATAAGGAAGCTGCCTGTAGAGTAAACAAACATTTTAAAACTGCCTTTCAAAGGAAGCCTCGGACCAACTGAAACAGGATAGTTGCTGGAAACTTGCTTGGGTAAGTTGCTTAGTTTGTTTGTTTTTTGTCGGGTGCATGAATCAAGGGCTTTCGTCAAACTAATCACCTTAAAATATTTAGCTAAAGTACCTCCATAAGAGCTTTAAACTTAAGTTCGTTTAAAATGAATCCACAGAATATTTACACATATCAAAATTGAAAAAGCTTTCCATTTGTCCTTTTCAAAACAGTGATAAATTTCTCAGCTTTCTTCCGTACTTTAAAGTTAGAAAAAACCCATAATATAGTTGCTAAAATTTTTCTTTTTCTTATTTCGATGCCTTCTATTTCTAGAAAAAAAAGTTCGTGTTTCACATTTCTATCTCTTTTTTTATGATGATGGTCCCCCGGTACGTTGATTCGCGTCGTTTCATAGGTGGTTTTCACGTTACGTCATCGCCGCCATGCTGGTGGACGGTAAACAAAAGATCGCTCATTAGCTCGTTTTGTTTGTCCACCAGCATTTGTTCATTTCACCATTGTTATTTGCGTCTCCCGAGATTGCATGAAAAGCACCTATAGAACTATTTATCATATGTCCACACATGTTCCCTGACTGCTCATCTAAGGAGCACAGATACCGCTGATCGCTACTATATACCAAAGTGATATTGTCACTAAAATTAACGAACTATCACGTGACTGTTCGGGCGACCATACACTCTCTACATGTAAGCCAATTTAAAAACAACCAGGCAGGCTGCCATTCTCAAAAATTGATTGACACAAGATATCCAAAAAGTACCTGACAGCTGCCAAAATAGACATCCGCTGACCACCATCTCATGACGTATCGCGGGCTCAGTTGCACAGCCCATCGACGTGATGCATTATTATTAATTGATTCGCAGGCTCATTTTTTGTGTGTCAGCAGTATTGCTTTTAGGTTGCGTAATCAACTTCTTTGCTCACGGCAATGTTCAGTTTTATCTTATGCTTGGCCTAACAGTGTTAAATTTGTTTTGATGGAGATAAGAGCTCTTCAAAATTTCTTTCGGTGCCGCGGCAGCAATTTATAGGAAGCCGAAACCACTGACACATCCGCGAACGCACAGGATCCTTAAACAGTTATCATACCGACAGAAACAAAACCGGCAGAACCACCGCAGACTAACTGTACTTAGCCTAATTATCGCAGACCGACGTGAGTCGAGTTTCTCAGCTTTTGTTGACATTCTCAGGGCTAGTTTACTTACATCACCCTAGAGTTTATGCAGATAAATATAGAGACCGCTACCTGACCAAAAGCCTTTAGAGGCGCCAATGAAGTTTGACGGCAAGCTTATCATTTCATTCCCAGACACCGCTAAAGAGAACGCGGAAAATAGTGGCTCTCCATTTGTTTTATCCCAAGGTAGTCTCCTTTAATTTTGAAAACTGGAAACTACAAAGAGTGCGGACCGGCCGATATAATGGTTGACGTCTTGGTTGAAACGTGATTAAACTTAAGTCGGAAATATCAAAACACTTGACAGACATCAAAACGAAAACTCTACATTATTTTCCGCTTCTCAATACTTATCCCCCTCCCG